TAAATTAGTGATATTACATCACTAGACATGAGAATAAAGGATTATTTCCCCCTATAAAGGAATGGAGTTATCTGCATCTATGCCTCTAGTGACGTCACGTTTAGCCACACCCACCGACAGGAAGTAATAAAAATGAGCATCTTTGAAGGCTCATATCTCAGAAAAAAAATTTTTTTAGACAATGGGAGTTGGAATACATCATTATTATGGTCAGGCAATCATATTAAGCCAATAAAAAAATTCACCAAAAATACACCGGACTTACCCTTTAAATTAGTGACCGTTTGGTGCAAATGAGCACAGACTTACTGATAGCCACCATTTTTGTTTCATTTTGACCCTACCCGCTTTCAACAAAGATATCTTATAGGCCATTTAACTTTAATAATAGTTAGACGACCTGCCCATACAAATTTTTTCTCATCTTAGTGGGCTTTGCCTAATAAAGGGTTTGAGATCTCCCATTAATAGTATTTATAATTTGGAAGAGCTCTATTTTGGCAAATGGTAATTTTGAAAGTAAAACCACAATATCAAAGTAGCTAATCTATAATGAGCATGCTCAGTAATGCACACGCGTACACAAAATTGAACAATCACATGTGTACAATTTAACAGCAAAATTGCCAAAATAAAGTGCTATATGGTATAACCATAATAGCTAGCGGGCAATTTTCAACTTGTGCTTATTTTCGTCTGTTTTGTTGCTATTAATTCGGAGCAAAAATTGATTTTTGATAAATATTAATTCTGAAGATACTGTAGGCCTGGGCGATAGTAGTAATATCAGTGTCATGATATTTTCTAACTCTAATATCACGATAGTGAACATATCACGATAGTTCAGCCATAGGGTTTACATGTGGAAATACAATGATTTATTTAAGGATGTAGTCATTGTACTTAACTAATGCATCTATTAATTTGTATAATCACATTATACATGCATAATAATACTAGTTAATTTAAATTTATTTAATTGAAATTTTCAACAAGAAATACTGTCCCACTTCACATGCTGCCAATGTAGCAGGGACAGTGAAAACCTTGAAGCAAGCTGTGCTAGCAAGTCATACCCATCTATGAGTGGAAGTTGCTATTGATTAGAAGATGATTACAGCTATCAAGTGTCATTTATGCACATGCTCCACGCACACGTGATAACTATCGTGATTAGAATATCAGTATCACTATCACGATAGCTGTACACTATTGATACTATCGCCCAGCCCTAGAAGATAGGTGTGACCATAACAAATTAATAATAAGTTAATGACCTGATAATAAGCATAGATGGCCTTGAAAACGGTGTTCACCTTTTAAAGAATCTCTTCCAGACCCTACAGGACCAGAGGACCTCTTTCTAATGCTATCAGTCCATGCAGATGCTAACAAAGACGTCAGATCAACTGCTTTCGTCTAATCAAAAATAAAACCAACAAATTTTTATTCTAAAGTCATTTCTGGTTTCATTCGAAATTTTCAGCCACCAAAAATTAACCACTAGTGATAAGGTATACAGTAGCGGAATACTGTTAAAAGCTTAACACATAGTGATTATATTATTTTCAGAGAGTAGCTTACATACATGTACATGCATTACTGACTATTGCATACAAGTACATGTACATGTACATGTAAATGAACATTAATAATTAATGCTGCAGGAGTAAGGCAATAAAAATTGCCATTTTCTTATCAAAGTAAAACGGGTCACCATGATTATATTGTTAAAAGTATAAATTTTACTAAAAACAAAAAGGAACATGTAAATGCATTTTTCATTTGGTAAACAATTGCATAGTGTCTGAAAAATTATGTGTTTTCTTTAGAGAATTACATGTAACATCAATTCATTTAAAGCACCACTACTTTATGCTTAATCACCATTGCATAACCATACAGTTTGTGATATGTACATTAATTAATACATGTACACATATACATCAATTATTAGAAGAATTTAAACCATAAAGGAGCTCCACCCATTCACCACACCCTGACATACATGTAAGTGTAATTCACCACAAATAAATTATTATTACATGAATTTATCTTTATTCAAACCTGAAAATTGCCTGCACAGTTCCAGTTATGTAGTACTAAGGGTAGACGTCAATTATTAAAATTCACAATCAAGTGTCACTATCAGGAAAGAGGAAGGTGTGAACTCATTGCACAAAAGATTGTGTTATTTTCCGATGACAGCAACTGCACATAACATATCAATACAGGATAATAATAATAATGAGAATTCACCAAATCTTCACTAATGAGTGGAAACTGATCTGTATATGGAGAGGGAGAGAAAAGGGGAGGGGTAGAATAAAAAATAATACCATCTAAATGACATATACAATTGTACATGTATGTGTATGAGAAATCTTAATACTGTAAACAGTGTACATGTAAATTTTGCTTAAAGCTTTCAAAGATGAGCTTTTAACATGCAGTTACATAGGTCAATTACAAAATTTAAGACATTTGAAATACACATGTAAACTTTTTTAATGTGCATATATCATATTCAGGCATGTGAATATTTGGTATATAATAACATCAACATGTATCATAAAATGAAAAAATGGGGTCATTTCAAAGCCACTTTTTTGAAAAAAGCATGGGCTATATTTAAAGGTATTTTTCAGAAATTGACCATATTTAGAATAATTATGGCCATAACTTTTAAAAATTGAGTCAGAATCGGCTCAAACTTTCTACACAGCATCAGTACGTGTACATCAATATGCATCAGAAAATGTAGTAAAAATGAGGGGGAGAGATTTTGAAGCCATTTTTTGGAAAAAAGCATGAGCTATCAGAGGTTTTTCTAGTGGGGGAGAGCTAGAGAAGGTTCTACCTCAAACTCCACATCTTCCCTCCCCCCAAAATTTTACATAAAAAGGTGCTATGAGACAATACAATGAGATTATGCACTAAATATAACAAGCTATCAGACCAAACACTCAACAATTAACAAAAACAAGAACATTATATGCACTCTAACCATTACCATTGATATACAATGATACTACAGTACATGTACTAAATTAAAGTTTACATGTACTTCCCCCCAAAGCCTTGCCATGTGTGGCGAAACACATTTCCCCCAAACAAAAAATTCTAGAATGAACCCTAGCTACAGTATAGGATATTTTTCACAAATTGACCAATGTAAAAAAATGGCTATAAGTCAAAACGTTTAGTCAAAATCATCAATACACTGCAGTTTCTGACCATTTTGTTCAATTGTTCAAACAAATTCTGAGTCGTTCTACCATTTTGTCTGAGCAACACAATTTTGAAATAAATCTACTAAAAACAATTTAATACAATAACATGTCCTATCAAAGGGGTTCCCACAAAGAATGCCACATATAAGTGAGCATGCTTCATGAGCTCACAAGCACTACGTTAGAATACATGCAACTTTAAAAATTCATAAAAAATCCAAAATTGATCGAAATCAGCTAAAACTTTCTACAAAGTATCAAAACATGTACATGTATATGCATTACAAAAATTATAAAAATAGAAAATTCTCTACTTTTACTTTTGATGAAATTTCGTCAAAGGCAAAGTCCCTTATATATAGTGTTGCAGCCAGAAAAAAAATTAAAAAAATCAATAAATAAGTGAAATAACAGTTTGCATAAGTGATCTTTGGAGATGACAAGAGGTGCATTAAAAATGTTCAGAAACAATGTCTGAACATTGTTTGAAATACCGTTGAATGTAAATTCAGGCTCTGCACTGTGCATCAGAAAATCAGGGTTGGGGTCAAATACATTGCAATTGTAATCAATTGCATTTAAATACATATTTTTTAGTAATTGCAATCGCAATGGTAATTATAAACAAAAATAAGAATGTATTTGGAATTGTATTTTAAAATATTGCCATACATAGACTTCCATATGTAGACTTCAAAATTATGTACATGTACATTCACACATGTACCTATATTTGTAGTGTAGAAAATCCTATAGGCAGTCTGTTTAATGAATGCTTTGAAGAACTAATGCTCATTCACAACATTGTGTTGTATGTAATAAGCATAAAGTATTTAAAATGCAACACTCAATTGTAATTGCAATGTAATGAAATACATTACTAAAAGTGGTATTTGCAATTGTATTTGCATTTGATACTATTACTC